CCAGACACATTTTACTTTTACAACTATTAACGTACTTACAAAGTGGGTAACATTGATGATGATATGAAGTCATGCTTTATGTCTAATTTTTGTCTACAACCTTGTATAGGGGTTGGACAAATTTTAAATAGGAATGCTAATTTTAAATGAGAAGCAATGGGTCTTTAGAAACTATTGAACATGACACATAATGTATAAGACAATACGCATTCACAAAGGAATCAACACAAGATTGGCATGCCTATGTGTGCATAAAGTCCTTTTGTTTATAGTATCAAAAGAAGTAAGAAATTGACTGCACACACTACAAAGGTATTTTTTTGATTGAAGGGATATTGAGACTCTGATACCTACAAAGGAATTTTTCAGCAGACACTAAGAAATTGAAGCATAGATAACACACTAAGAAATGGACTGCACACACTACAAAGGTATATTCTAGCACATATATATAAGCTTTTAGGGACAGAACAAAACAAAATATTATTTGCTAATAATATGTTTGATGAAACGTGAGAATTAACAGAACATTAGAATTTTAGAGAAATGTATTAGCAAAAAGAGATTCAAGATGCATGAGTTGAGATTAAATGGAAATTTAGACTGCTAACATAGTGTTGTGCAAGTAAATTTGTTGTTTTTGGTGGGTTTCAATTGATTCAAGGAGAGGCTGCCTGTGGAAAGAGATATGTTGAAGAGATGCAGGTGAATGCAAATTACATTCTTACTCTTTATTTGTTAGGATTTGCAGTATTCTTTGTTACCAAGTTCGAAGTATTACTCCAAAGGTGTTGGATGATGATGTTGGTAAAGTTTTTTTTAGTTTTTTGCAAATTGAGTGCTCCGACAGTGTATTGTTGAAATGTGTTTGGGTGAAATGGACCAGTCCAGCAGAGGGCTTATGAACCTAAATACTGATTTCTTTCCAAAAACAAGGAAGGTGGTTGAGGCAAGTTGCTTGAGTTTTTGTTGGGTAGTTTTTGACTTATGTAGAAGCTGTTATTGTCTTTTTACTTTTGAAGGATTATCTAAAGCAGATTATCTATAGCTGCTTTCTCCCAATAGTTTCAGAGCATCCATGCAGAGATTTATGGATTTATGGTCAGTTCTCCACATACAAATCATGAGCAGTGATTTCAAAGTAAAGTACAAATATTTCACACGATAATTTGGCAGTATTTAATAGCAAGTAATCCATAAATGGAGACTAATTTAGAAGAAATCGCAGAGATATTTTGCCCATATATTCGACAATTTCAGGGAAATATATATTATATGATCACCATGCATGTATTTTATGCGCACATTGGCATTTGTAGAAGTCCTTTCAGAGAAGAATAATGCACAGAAGAAGGCGAAAAAAAAAAATTTAATCCAGCATACATGTGCTTAAGGTTTTGGTTTTAGATCATGGGTCCTCCATTCAATCTTCCACAACACAACATTCAACTGCAATTTGCAACTAACTATCTAGGTATGTTGAACATTGTTGCTCACTTGCTTGGTGTACATGTTTGCTCTGGAAGTTTGTGGGTGCTAGAAATTTGTCAATAGGAAGTAGTTTATTTCGGTCACTTTTCACTGATTATTGCGAGAGACTAGAGTACTGCTATTACATATCTCCTGAATATTGATAGTTGATAAGGCTTTATTGAATGCAGTTTTGCTAGAATGTAAAATCACATGCTAGAAGAAAAAGGACCTGTAGATATTTTACTCTTTGGAAGAACTTGAAGGTTTCTTTCTAGCCTTCAACAATTTTAACAGGAAACCTGCATTACAAAATAGTATTAATAAAGCTGAATTTTAATACCACAGAGAATTTAATAAAAAAAAACATCATAAGGTTGGAGAATGCTTTTCTCAGCACCCATTACATACCCTAACGTGGATTGAAAATTGAATAATATTGGGGATTTTCGAATATCACACAGTAATGGGGTTTGGGCAATGAGGATTGAAATTTTGCAAGTACACATGGAGATTTTTGAATTCTACATTCATGGGGATTGGGCAATGGGGAAAATTTTTCTGAACTAGGGGTTTTTTTGAAGTGCAGCCTTAATGTAGCGTACCTGGTTAAATAGATGCTTCTTGTTCAACACGTGAACCCCCTTGTCTACTCCTCGCCTTAGAACTCGTCTTCTCCAAGCTTTAGAGCTAGCTCACGGGTATGTACCAGTCTAATGCTTCATTTGACAAAACATTTAGCAAACTAGGACTTACAATGGAACCTTAGGCGAATCTCTGAGGCAAATCTTGCAGAACACCTCAGTTGTCTTCTTCGAACAATCTAGGGCTACGATTGGATTTTCTCAGTAGGGTGTGTTCATTTTAAGGGCTGATCTTCAGGGATGGCGAAATCAAACACATTAATAGAAGAGAGAGGAGGGCTCATTGAAGAGAGAAGAGAGACGAAGGTATAAGCTTCCACAGAGAGAAGAAATGAGTGAGAGGCAAACTCATGAATAACAGAAAGGGGGAACTGGAGTGAGTTTGTGTATTCAAATGAAAGCGGATTCATTATATCCGCTTCATTTGATAAAACGGATAGAACGAATCCGCTTTCCAGCTGACAGCAGAGCAAGGTTTGAATTAAAAGTGTATTTCACAAATACACTTTCAAATATGAATTCAGATTTCTTGATTCCGCTTTACTATATATAGTCATATGTGCCAATTCTGCTTTTATGTAAAATCGGATTTGCCAATTCTGCTTTTAAAACTATCGTACAATGGTAAATATGTTCAAAACAACCATATATCAATATTTATGTTTTAACTTTGTTGTACATGGGTAATAGATTCCTAGATAATGGGTATCGTCTATAACTGTGTGTGTGTGCGGGTAGACAAAGAGAGAGAGAGAAAAAGACAATACCCATTAGGCCATTACCCAACATCTCTTACTCTTTCCCTCTCTTATAAAGCATCTCTTATGAAGCAGTTCAAGCCAGCTATACTTCCTCCCCTTTCTCTTGGTGCAGAACGCTATGTTCTTGTTGGGGATGCCCAGGAGCTTCCTGCAGCAGTTATTAGCAAGGCAATGATCAAATGGTAGTAGAAAGAGAGGAAGAAATGGAGTGTAGAAGAAAAAGGGGACCGACTAGATTTAGAAAGAGAGGAAGAAATGGACTGTAGAAAGAGAGGAAGAAATGGAGTGGAGAAGAAGAATGGACCGATTAGATTTAAGGCAATATTAAAAATTTTGGGCATTTTATAGAAATGGCAATAGAACTGGCCGATTTGACAAAACCATTATGTTCACGGTTTTTGTCAAAAACAGGCTGGTTTGATGGTTTTATTCCGGTTTAATTGCCTAGAAGGTCCAATTCAAGAACCGGACTGACTAAGGTGTCGATTTACAATTCAACTGATCGAATCGGCTATTCCGATTCGATTCTGATAACACTGGTTAAAAGAGTTTTGGTGGGATGGATAAGAGAGGTAACTATAGGTGGAGGAAGTGTTGAGTGGGTGCTCATTGTTTTTTTTTTTTTTTTGTACGATTTTCTTTTTTTATTTTGACTTTCTATGTTATTCAGACGTTTCATACAGTCATAAATATTTCAATTAAATCATGTGTTACATGAGTTAATAGATAAGATTCATATAGCCTAGTAAGGCCCATTCAATAATTATTATCGCGCATTTTCAAAAGATCATACTCTTTCCCGTAAGTTTTAAAAATTACCTATATTTTTGGTATCTCATTTCTGTGTGTTGAAAAACTTAATGGGCCAACATTTAAGAGCAATGCAATAAAATTCAAATGAAACTTAAAAAATTGTAATTCAAATACATATCATCTCTTCGATGATGGGTTCCATCAATTTTTTTAGTGGAACCTACTCATCCCACACTTATCAAGGGATGATATGCATTTAAATTTTATTTGAATTATGTAATATTTTTTGACGTTTAATAACCAAATAGATGAACCGCGACAATGGGGGTGCCACAGCTCTTGAGGTTTGTTATCCTTCCTCCGAGGATTGGTTGCCTAATTTTTATTTCTAACTCATTCTGTACTCCCTGTTTCCTTTTGCTTTGGGCCAAACTTGGCCTGCTTCTCTCCACGCTTTGTTTGTGGGGGGCTATTAGATATAAAGGATAATAGTGCACTACAACAAAATTTTCAAATATTTAAATTCTCAAATTTATAAATTAGATTACCTCCTGGTTTGTGTACATAGAATTCTTGTGCAATCCAACCACCAGTGTGTCAGCTCGATAAGTACTCCGTAAAACACGGCAAGTAACTAAAAAGCGAAGAAGTATGGACGCGGACGCGGACACGGAGATGGATACAACATGATAAGAATACGTCGACATAATAATTCTCAATATAGTAGGACACGTTGGGGATAAGTTGCAAAAAAATTATATTTTATATATCATATTATATAATTTATTATCAACATAGTAATAATGATATATAATTCATAAAATATTTAGTATTTTATGATACGTAAATCTAATGTCTAGTTATTTGTGTGAATTTTTAGACTAAAACATTCTCATTATAATTAATAATTATCAAATTTTTTTTCCTAGATAATTGGTACCTAATATATATTTTAAATAATTGCTCTCATTTTCTCAATTCTTATTTTTTAAAATTTTTATGCATCTTTTTTAATACAAATTTAACATGTCTAGTAGTAGTAATTATATGTTCTTAAATTTTTAAATTTTGTTAATCATATTTCAACACATGTCTATTGTATAATAATAGACACATTCTAAAGAAGTGTTGGACACGTTACCAAATAAGTGTTTGACACGTGTCCAAAATTAAAAATTTATTATTTGATTATGGATATAGATAAAAAAGTATCAAACATGTGTCCGAAAAATGTTGGTGATCCACACGGATACGTCACCTTCTTGAGAGTATCCATGTTTCATAGCTAGAAAGATTATTATAATTACATTTTTCTAGAGGGATCATCTAGAAAGCGGAGTTGTTTTGAATATATTCCTGCAAAAAGCTAACATAGATGTTATGAATTAAATATTTTTTTTCCAAGCCTTCCAAATATTTACATAAGTTTGAAGACATGATACAACTGTCTCTCCACCAACTAAAAAGAATTTCTTAATATGAGAGCATGTATAAGAAAAGAATATAAAAGAAAAGAAAATTGTGAGATGTCACATTATTTGATAGCTAGAATTTGTGGAGTTTCCTTAACATAAAGGTCTTCATCTGTGGCAGAAATATTACATCCCCTTCCGGAATTATGCCCTGGAGGGCACAATCATCGGACTAGAGAAAGTCTATTTGACATGACAGAGTCAGTCTCAATGGTTTGAATAGTAAGGTCATTGGCAGGATTTATCTCTTGAGTTGTTTGCTCAGGTTGGTTTGGATCGCCAGACTCATATGAAGGAGTTCCTTGCTCTTTGAGAATCACGAAGCTCTGCTCTGATTGAGGCGAAAAGCTTACTGGACTTGGCTGGGCATTAGTATTCAGCGAGGAATCGAGTGTAAACATAGATGGACTTGATGGGCAAGTAGAAAGGGGAGAAGTTTTAGGTGCAGCCAATCTATCCATCCCAACCCTGCCACTTCTGTCTTGGACTTCTTTTCTGAAGAAATTATGTGAGCTCAAATCTTTCTGGTCAAAGCGTCTAGTTAACATAACAACTGTTTTCCATATTGAAGCCTGGGGATCAAAGCTTCTCACGGAGTGCCAATGCTCATGTATGAACGTAGTCATAAATATGATCAGAGCTAAACCCGAAATGATTCCAACAACGAGGAAGAGGCCCCAGAAGTTCTCAAGACTCAGTCTGTTGGAAGAAAGGGAGGTGGTAGAGCCTGCACAACTAGTTTCTTGCCCGAACCATTTTTCTTCAATTTCTATAATCTTATTTCCCTCGTTCACATCTAGGACTGCTCTTGAAACATCTGGTACTAGAGGGGAACCTATTGGGAACACCTGCATTTCACAATTTGTAAGAAAATCACACAAAATATTATTTAAATGAGAAGAGAGAGAGATAGAGAGAGAGGTTGCATACAAAGCCGAAGCCAGCAGTATTGTATGTTGGTCCAGCCGTGGTATATTTTGAGCAGTATCGTGAAAAGAAAAGCTTAATCCATAGGGTTTCATGGAAAGCAGCCGCAATACCACCTTTTCGACACCCTTTGGAAAAAAGTTCATGGCACTCTTCAGCAGTACGAAATGGCTTAAGTTTATTTCATGGAAGCCCATTTGCTTTAGCAGCCCTAAAACAAAAGAACCATGTTGGTAGCCGACATACGCCCCTTTACTTATAAGTTCATTTACATCTGTAACTGTAGGTTGGAGTTGTTGAACCGTTAACATCGATGCAAGACTTGCTGTGTAACTTTGGGTCAGTATGAGTACCACAAATAACCAGATGATCACCACAAACCTAGACAAGTTGCTCACCACCTTCTCCCCTGGAGAAAATTGAGTGTCCGTTGTCAATATGAACTCTATTTGATTTTTGAACTACATCTTATCCCACTTGACCATGAGAATGCTATGGAATTTCCAAGAATTGAAAGCAAAAGGCAAAAAATGCTAGCTTGTACATATTTGTTCACATCATTTCTGCAATGTCACCATTATATAACAAATAATTCTTGGTTGCTATATTTGTTCATAGCATTACCTTTAATAAACCTAATCTTGCTGTAATTTTACTTAGATTATGGGTCGATTTGGTATTTAGTACATGGTATGTGTATCATAGTTTCTCATATACATAATGTGATGTGGTTGCTTTAATTGGTACTCCCTCCGTTCCTAAATATCTGTCGTTTTATCCAATTTTTTTTGTTCCACAATATCTGTCGTTTTATGAAACCAAAACATAATTAATAATTTTTTTTTCAAATTTATCTTTATCTCTGCTTTCCAATACGTGCTTAATAGATTAAGTGTAGGCTAAGTGTCTTTCATATTCCATTCCTTCCTAATATGTATTGAATAAGAATATTTTAGTCTTGTTCAATTATTTTTTACTCATACTAGAGCTATTTAATAGCTTCCTTAATCCTTGTGCAAAAACCTTAAACGACAGATATTTAGGAACGAAAAGAGTATATTATTTTGGGTCACGTTTTGTTTTGTAACTTTCATTCGAATCAATTTCGCTATTCATTGAGATTAACTATAGATAAATTTTCATCTACACATAGTCAATTACTATTAAGTTTAGGCTTATGATTAGAGTTTCAAAGCAACCTGTAAATAATATACCAGTTGATGGTTGTGAATAATAAAAGTTAATTACTGCTTATTTGTATCATGAAAAAATTTAGAGTATGACTAATCAACATAGAAGTTTAAAAATAATTAAAATAAAGATATAAACTACCAATTTGGATTACAATTTGAGGTTACCTACATCGTGGGTTGATTTGATTTGGGATCACCGGCGGAGCCAGTAGTGGACCAGGGGTTGCCCACCAAGGATTTTTTTTGAAAAAATTATTAGCTACATACATTTTAAATAATTTTTGGTATATTTTATGAGGTCCACCCTATATATTTTGTGTCCACTCTCTCAATTTCTTGCCTATCAAGTAGTATAGACACATACCTAATTAACTATGAAATTTTGGACACACTTTACACTTTAGGGACATATCTAGACAAGTTTTGATATATAGAACTCATTTTTTTTTAAAAAAAATTATGAATACTATGAGGACAAAGTTGCATAATTAAAAAATTGATTTGATTATTTATATAAAGAAATATATTCTCTATAGTATTGATAATGAAATTATCATACAATGCTTTTAAAGTATGAAAACTCATTGAGATCAATTGTAAATTCTTTTTATTTGTATATGTTATATCGTCATTGAACTGTTTTGTACTTGATGAATGTTTGAGTATCAAATATAATATATTAAGCTTAAATGTGTTATGCTACTTCTATCAAGTGAAAGATAAATTTAAATTTATAGCTAAAGTGTCCACTTTGAATAAAATTTATGGCTCTACTTCTGTTTAGGGTTAGGATTATCATTTAAGGTAGAAAGTGGGTGATCCAAATCATAAACCCACCTCATTTGGGGTCATGCGACCCTTGGTAGTCGGACACTAGGGACACCTACAGTCCCATCATCCATTTCCTAATAGAGTTAGTGTGTTACTTTTATTTGCAATGCATTGCATGTTTGGATAATTGCTACAAATGTTTTATGGTCATTGCATAAGTGAAAGAGGAAAAAAAAATAAGAGGGGAAGAGAACTTACTATGTGAAAAAACCATGGTTGAGAAGGAAAACCAGAACATCGTCCCAACTTGGTGTGAAAGAGGTCCCCTGAAATCTTCATTTACTCGATGTTCGAGAATCCAAATCACAAAACCAATAAATATAAATGAACAAAAGCTTGTCACCCAAAGGTCCCAAGGCAATGGTTTCAAAAACACCCAGGCATTTTTACTCCTATTATCTTTGACTGGCACAATCATTGAAACCTTGGACTCTGTGTATGGTAGAGTAAAGTCCACATATTGTGATCTGTTTACAGTTATAGTCGTATCTCCTACGACCGCACCAAAATTCTGTTGATCATGCAATTAGCCAGTATGTTAGTAAGCAGTTAAAGAAATATGAACACAATTTAAGGATGCATAATAGAACTAAAAGTAGATTTGTAATTGACCTTCACATTTAGTAACTTGATTAGCCCACTTTAGTTTTATAGGTAATTCTATAAGAATATCTAAAAATACTAGGACAAAGAGGGAGAGCGTTACCCCAAGATGAACATGATAGACCAAGTCATTGTAAGTGCCATCACCATTGCCATCAGCAATTTCAAATGGAACATATTCATAAGGAACCTTATAGGGTAATGCTGCCATTACAGCGTCAAAGATATCAATGCAGTACCCTTTGACTGTCGTCATGTTAGTGTCTTGATTACGGTTTACAACTACAAATTTCTGAAACTCATCCTTCTCTGGAACTCCTATTCTCAACTTCTTCCCATTTGTTGGAATCTCCCAACCCCTGGGAGGGCATGTCCTATTGCCTGGCCATATAATAGATTCAAGGTTAGCCTTTGAAATGGAATTCTTGTCCGTATTTCTGATGTTTAGCTCCCTGACAATCCCTTTTTCTGATGTCCAAAATCCAATCCCTTGACCTCCATCGCCAATTACATTAATTATCTGAAAAACTGATGATTGCAGTTGTCCATCAACTATGTAGACATCTCCATTGAGGCCCCTAAATTTTGTATTTTGAAGTGCTTGGAGAAGCATTGGACCATTTGAAGAGACTTCAAAAGTTTCAAGATTTGCTGAATTTCTTACTGATCTATTTGCCTTTTGGAAGCCAAGATTTTTATCTCCAACCTTTTCAACAGCAATTGCTAATGCAGTAGCCGCATCGTATGCCCCTACTTCGAAAACACCCAACTCTGTGTTAAACATAGTTGGGTTGTCTCGTAGAAATTGCTTTTTCCATCTAATGGTAAAATCTTCAAGCTTTTTAGTTCTTGGAACATTAGATTTCACTCCTATTGCCCCTTGCATAGAATCAATGACTAAAGAATTTATAAAGTGTAGTTCATTAGTCAAGGCATTACTTATGATCCAAGCATAGCCCTCTGTCATCATTCCTAGCTCTTTTGCTTTGATAAAAAGCCGAGAACCAAGTGACGACGACATGTGGACAATGAATACTCTGGTTTGCATTGTCCTCAGCCTTTCAAGTTCTGCAACAAGTTGATCATCTGTGACTGAAGCAGGAATAATGCTTCGGTAGGGAACAATAGCATCGATCTCTTGCAAAGCATATGTCAGAAAAGGTATAATCCCTTCTCCAAACTCATTGTCTACATAGATTGGCACGACTTCCCTCCATCCAAATGCTTGCACAATTGCGCTAATGGCTTTGACTTGAGTAGAGTCATTATGCGTAACACAAACAAAATATGGTGAAGAAAGAGAAGGCCTTGTTGCCGAAAATGAAATAATGGGTACTTGAGCTTTGTCTCCGAGATTAATCACAAAGTCGGCCTGCATGGATGTTGACGGTCCTATAATGGCTTGCACTTGGACATTTTCCAGCAGGTCTAGAGCTAAATTTGGGAGAAGAAGAATTGATAAATTATATGATGACCAATTTTAAGAAAACTAACATGGAAGGAGAAAAAAAAAGGGTTATATCCCATTGATATGTGTTAATATAGCGACAATATAGGGGCATCTTTCAATTATTTGAAGCAAGAAGCTACTGGTCATAGATTCATATGTTGGAGTACAAAAGGATACTCGAAGATAGAAAGAGACTGGTGTTTCACAAAGGTTTTCCTTGTAATTATTTCTAATATGTTATGGAATTGATTCGTAACTGTAAGAAGAGTAGTGAGATGCTAATTAGAATCAATATGATTGGCACCAAGCAGCAAACTTTGCCAAGTTACGCTAGGTGCGCCATCTATGCTATGAACGCTTGTGTCACATCAGATTAATTGGTTTCCAGAGCAGTTCTTTTGAGCTCTTTGGGCCTCGTGCAATCGTGAAGCTTGCTATTTTTGGCTCATTATACTTAACCATGTTTGTATGACAGTAATCGCGATGAAGAATAAGAATAACATTCTTAAATGTGTTTGGATAGTGATAAATCGGTAATTTAACTTGGGAATAAGATTATTATTGGAATTAAATTTTCAATAATAGTGGGAATGGTAAAACCTTGATCAATTAAAGTTGGCAATCTAATATCCAGCTTGATTGAAAAATCTAAAAAAGATTAAAAATTCTAAAATTAAGTTTCTTTCTAAGAAATTAAGGTCATTTTTAAAATTAAGTTCCTTCCTAAAATAATTTTTTTATTAAAAAAATTTATGAAATAAATATACTAGATTACTGAAAACAACCAAATTCCGAACAAAAGATTCTTACTGTATTTAAAGTTTAGATATATTTTTTTTACTGGAAATGAGATATTTAATCTGAATTAAAATTACTATCATTCAAACAAGGCCTAAGTTCTTGCATAACTACAATATACAAATGTAAGAAAGATTTCTAGGACAAGAAAAAACACGAAGGTGAACCTCTAACACAAAGGGAATAAGGGGCCATGATGGGTCTTAAAATACACTGACCGCCAATGAATTACAACATAAATTACTTAGGAAGAAAACAAAGGTCATGTTAGCCAGGTTTGTGCAGAGGGAAATCTGGTGGCTGAGCCACTAGGTGAACATGTAACAATAGATGAAGACACAGAGAGAGAGAGAGAGAGAGAGAGAGAGAGTACCCGCTGAAGCAGCACCAACAACATCACTCTTGGAGTCTCTGGGGTTTAGAACAAGCCGAGTCCTATAGTGAACATTGGAGGTATAGAAGTCTGACAGGGCCATTGAGATACAGCTTAGCCACTTCTTCCCATCCATTGTTTCCATATCAAGAATCACTCCCACATTTACAGGAATTGTTGCGTTCTGTGCCATGGCCATATCTATGGGCAAAGTTTTTAGAAAGAGAAAGAAGAAGTAAAGTGAGAAAACGATTTGGGTTGCTTTAGTAATTCCCATTTTTGAACTTATCAGCAGCTTTGAAGTTCATTGCATTGACATAGAAGTTATTTATAGTAGCTAAGGATTAAAAAGGAAGGAGCCTCGAACAGCATTAAATTTTGTAGGACCACCAAATGGGCTAGTCTGTGTATATATTTACATGTGTGTATAAATATGTATATATATTTACACTATTAATAAAGGTACAGAAGAGTTTGGTGATCATTTCTAAAATGTCTATAAAATATTTTATAAAAAATATTATTTGAACTTAATTTGGAGATTTAATCAAGAGATTTAATAAATTATAACTGCTGAATTAAAAATAAGTTTTATAAAAAAATAAAACTCGCCAAATATTCCTATTATTCTAATTTCTGTCTAACTACGAATCACCCATGATTCAGACGAGCGTGTTGACTGAAATTTTCCTTCTTTAATACAGTTAATTACCCTGGTATCCCATGAGTTACATTTTTCAAAGTCAATTCTTATCATTTGAACGCGCTATATTTTTTATATGACTTTCCTCCAACATTCTACGAAACTTCCTTCATTGTGGCAGGATTTGACTTTGAATAATTGCTCTTGTATGAATCCTCTAATCTTTTATATAATACCAATCATTACAATTCTTTCAAAATCATATACAACTCAAATAGATAACATTACGATTCAATGAGAGAGATATGACCAATTTTAAAAACTAAGAATTGATTTTAATTTTTAATGATCGGTCTCAAGTGTTTCCGAATAGATCTCAATACCTTAATGAATTACAATTTTATTCTCATTCAGTGATAATTTATTTTGGTTGGATTGTCATTTTCCATTAATGTTTCTTGATATGGTGCGGCATAGGACCTCATATTTTTCTGTATAAGACAAAGATGTCCCCTCATAATGACTAGTGTGGTAGACAAGGTTAGGGTGTTATTAGTCAATTGGATTCTGTCATTGACTACCGCGTGGTTGGCTAACATAACATTACGTAATAAAATTTGCTCTCATTTTTATTTTATTCCCCAAAGAAGTTGACCCATAAGTTTCCTCTCATTTTTATTTTGTCCCCTATTTTTTTTTTTTTTTAAATTGATACTCAAACTAGAAAGATTACTCCAATGTTACTTGAATTGGACTCAAATTTCTATCAAAAAAGGGAGGAAGGGGTGATACTGTGCATTACACACACACACACCCATGTGATGCGCATAACATAAAATCTATTTCTCTGCATCAGTTCATCTATACATATTACTAACTTTAGCGGATATAGAAGAACCAGGTACATTGAAAGTGTAAGTTTTTAAAGTAGGAAGTTATGTATATAGTCGTGCGATAATTAGATAAAAACTAGGTTTTGTACTATGAAATGCGGATATTTCGTTAAGGTTCACGTATTCGTATAAAATATTATATTAAATACTGATGCTACTAAGAAGAAATTCATAAACTAGACTAGTCTGTAACGCGGCAGATAGACTAACTGACCTATCAGGATCCAGGTCAGTCAAGGCATAAAGTAACTTAGTAATTACTAGACCATCCTAGCATTTAAAAAGATCTCGGTAGTTATCGAAGTAGCTTAGTTTACATTAGAAAAATGATAGAAGAGGAATTACGCCACCAAATCTTACCTTGGGCAAAAAGAATCCATCTCTAGAGTACTATGTCACATCTTTTAGAATGTTATGTCATACTTAGAAAAGAATTCTTCTAACGACCAACTATTTTATCCAAGATCCTAACAACTTATGGGATCACATCATCATTGTTTGAGGCCACACTATGTGACACCCCAAATTCAAGGGGTCCGTTAATTTCCCATCAACCCATGGAATGCCCGTGGATACCGTATAACTCGATATCGCACCATTGTGTCCCATTTACCAGGATCCATAATTTAACAAAAACCGGGCAGAGTCTCCTTTGTACGGGAAGCTCTACCCCAAAACACAATCTGTGCAATCAACATTTACATGACCCATCTGAGGTCCAATATAATACCATAACCACACAGGGTCCATTTTATACGTAAAACTTGACCACACCAAGTCCAATCATCATATTTATATCAAAATATGCAAGGTTATATTAAAACAGTCCATATATACTCTATTACAATTCCTTTACACATTACATGCCAAAATTTAATTACAAATCTACTTTTACAAAAAAAAAATGGATTGGAAGCCACAAGTCGGCTTTTCTTCAACCATGTGACCCTGATTGTGAGCCGTCCATTGGTGCATGACCCACACCTGAAATGTTTCCCGTATAGGGTGAGCCAATGCCCAGTAGAATAATCCCTACAGAGGCTACTCATCACCTAAAATGCATATGCAATGTATAAATGCAACATTTCACAACAAGTATTCCCTCCAACAATAACATATAATACAATGTTGGAAAATCATGATGCCATGCCAAGTAATGAGATGAAACTCACCCATGCATGCTATCCCGAGCCACACCGACTCCCACAACACAATGCGACACTTACGTGTAAAACAAACGTCTTTGATGAAACACATCCAAAGATCATTTTGAAATCAACCATATGTCATAAAACTAATTCATTCTTGGATGTTTCCCATCAAATGAATAATTTATATATCAAAATCATGTGCCTTTATGGGGTATCGGATTCAGGAATCGCACCTCCGGCTCCGTACGCCGTTACACTTTTCTGGAATTTCACCGCCGGTAAGTGTATGAACCAAGTGGTCGGGTTTTTCACCCGAGGGAGTGTCTAGCCCTACTTGCTATACCCGACACAAGTTTTCTTATGCATGTCACCGTGCGACTCCGTAGGACATTCCATCCCACTTTCCCGAGCCTACCATCAAGTACCAATGTTGGTGTTGATCACCCCATGCAACCCTACACCCACACTCATGCATGTAGCCCATGAATGTGATGTTAATTCCATGTCCATATTGCAATGCATGCCAAATGAAAATTTTTAAATATCATTGTATACCATGGCAATTAATATCATTTGCATATAATCACATAACCATTTCAAGTTCAATATATCCAAGAGCATATATCAACACTCCATCAACATGATAACACATAATACATGCTAATATTACATTTCATTCACAAGGCATAATATAAAACACAAAGCATGCCCACATGATCCCAATTTCCAAGGGATTACATAAATACTTCCATATACCAAAATCAAGCCAAGATTTTATATGGATCATTCAAACAAAATAAAAATCAGAATATATGATTTTTATATAACCAATTATCTAAACATTCAAGAAATCACAAACTAGCACTTTCTAACTACCAATTCACACTAAAATTGATCCTACCCATTTCCATAGCACCAATCATAATGAAAAATATTAGAAATACCCAAAATAGCCCACATGAACCCTATGGACACCTTAGGTGAGAAATAGGTCCGAGTAGGAGGAACCCTACCTCTTGAAGCGTAAAGAATTTGTAGGAAGCCTCAAGAACAAGATTGAAGCCCAAAGTTTAGATTTCTCCAAAATCCTCTCTTTGAATCTTCGGTGAAAATCTTTGTTTTTGGTAGCCACGCGTAGCTCTCGTCGCGTAGATCGACTTTAATTCTTGGCCCGACGAATTTCGACCGACGGAATCCGAGAATCGGCGAAAGAAAGCTTGAAGAATTATATTTTTTTTTCTCCTTTGCTCTTTGGCACTTTTATACCTTCTAAACACTTGGCCCTCGTCGCGCCAAGTGTCGTCCTTTGTCCGGGTCCGTTTTCATCCCGAAACGATTAAATTTCGTACCGATTTAAACTCAAAATATTTTATATGAACTTTATTTAAAATATTTTTTAAATTTTCAAATTTTTATAAAAATTTCATTTTTAGGGGTCATCGAACACCCGTCACCTCGAAAACGTACAAAAATCTGACTATCTCAGAATTCGACGAAATTTGTCTGGGTAACTAGATTTCGTGAGACGAATCCAACGGTGAGGTCCGTTTTATCATCTGAGGTCTATAAAAATACCATTTTTTTTAACCGCACTATAATGGCAAATTACTATTTTGCCATTTTTTTTTCAAAAAAGGTTAAAATTTTTCCCGGGTTTCACATTCTTCCTCCCTTAAAAGAATTTCGTCCCCGAAATTCACATACACATGCACATACAATCACATCTATACAACAGTCAATTAATGCTAAATGACCAGAAGAATGTACCTCCATCCTCGAACAAGAAAGGATAACTAGTACGGACAGTGTCCTCGCGCTCCCATGTCGCCTCCTCTACTCCTCGATGCTGCCACAGCACCTTCACTAGCCGCACGGTCTTATCTCGCAAAACCTGTTCCCGGCTATCCATGATGCGCACCGGTCCCTCCTCGAAAGTCCCATCAGCATCAACAACAAGCTCTCCCCAATCCACCACATGAGTCGGATGTGGGGTGTACTTCCGAAGCATAGAGACATGGAATACTGCATGAACACTCGATAGATTTGGCGGTAATGCCAACCGGTAAGCAACTGTACCCACTCTCTCAAGTACCTCGAAGGGCCCGATGTATCTCGGTGACAGCTTCCCCCGCTTACCAAACCGGACCACTCCTCTCTTAGGCATAACCTTCAAGAAGACATGATCTCCCACCTCAAACTCTAGAGGTCGCCGCCGTCTATCAGCATAACTCTTTTGCCGGCTTTGAGCCGTGAGAAGACGCTTCCGAATCAAGTCCACCTTCTCCGAGGTGTCTCTGATCAATTCGGACCCGTAGAAGACCTCTCTCCTACCTCCGTCCAACAAACCGGAGAACGACATGGCCTCCCATATAGTGCCTCATAGGGTGTCATCTCTATGCTCGCCTGGTAACTGTTATTGTATGCAAACTCCACCAAGGATAAGTGATCTTCCCAGCTACCCTTAAGATCTAGGACGCATGCCCGTAGCATGTCCTCTAAAGTCTGGATAGTCCTCTCAGACTGACCGTCTGTCTGGGGATGAAAAGCAGTGCTCATCATTAATTGTGTCCCCATGGCTCGCTGGAAACTCTCCCAAAAAT